ATATTTATGTTTGTGGTTGTAATGTGACAAAATATGGAAAAGTTCAAGGGGTATGAATACTTTTGCAAACCACTGTAAATCTCATAAATCTTCCAGCACATACTCATGGTATTCYTCTTTGTTTAGTCTGGTTATTTCTACTTTAAATTACTTGACAGTTCAGCAGCTCCTGTTCTATTTTAGTGTTCAGTTTGAAATATTTWTTGATTTATTGTACATCTTGTTTGGTCTCGGGACCATGTGGCTGCAGTGAAACCTGCCACAAGTCAGTGATGTGTCAAGTTTCTTTAAAAATCTGTAAAATTTCTGAGATTTTTAACAAATTCTTTAAAGTTCCTGTGACGTGCATTTCACTCAAATACAAAAAAGTTAAAGGAAAATAACTTTATGTTTAAGAAACTTGGCATAATACGTATGATTGTACTTATTTTGTCCCATAACTGTCATATTTTCTTTTGAATTAGGCTCAGCCAAAGTGAAACAGGAAGTGACATCAAAGAGGAACTCTAAAAACTCTCAGGTTTTTGTTTATTGAAACAACATTTAAACTCTTAACTCTTCTGAAAACCTCTGCTGGTGACTTAAAATAATCTCTAAAGAAACTCCAGATTCTTCTCTACAGTCTGGGTTGTTAGCTGTTKTAGCAACGCTCTGTTCACTATCCGACATTCCCCTTTGACATCACTTCCTGTTTCTTCACTTGCAAATATCTCAACAACTGTTCATCTCAGCGGCGTGAATTTTTTTCCTCAATATGTTTTCAATCTTATCTTAAAAAATGCATTCAATTTATTACAAAGATTTGATGTCCCAGGCACTTTAAAACATATTTTCAAGTTTGTTTGCTCAAGAAGGAACTGCAAAACCTCTGACCTATTAGGTTGATTCTCAGGTATTAATAAAGAAACTTTAATTCTCATTTATAAACGTATCTTTTTTTTCCCTGCAGATGTTTCGGTTTCTGCTGTGGCTCAGCTCCCCCGTGGCCCCCTGCTAAAACGGGGAAGCACCATCACCTTAATCTGCAACGTCTCTGTGACGACCACAGGTCCCGCCCAGGCTCAGGTGCAGTGGCTGCGATGGCCGATCCCTAAATTAGTGACCAAGCAGGAATCGGCTCCATCAGACCCCCCTGCTGTGACAAAGCCCTCGGTCATTGCAGTTCTGATGTACAGCGGCGTTTCAAACATGCATGAAAACACCAGCGAGATCAGCATCGACCGGGTGGCAGCTGGCAGCTACAGACTGAGGGTCCACTCGGCGACAGAGGGGGACCAGGGCATGTATAAATGTCAGGCTGAGGCGTGGGGGCAGGACCCACATGGAGGCTGGTACAACACTGGAGCCAAAGCTGAGTCAAACGCAGTGACTGTGTACCTGTATGCCAGAGGTAAGAGCTTCCTTTGGAACTTATTGTTCTCTAAATTAATCATGATCCAGATAAATAAATATGAAGGTCTCTGAACCAAACATTTTAACACTTGTTATTTTCTCTCTCAAATGCAACTAACATACTAAATAAAACCGTAGCTCGGKTTGTCTGCGAGGTCAGAGGAGCAAGTGTTTTATTTCAGATTTTCAGGGTCAAACAAAAGGAAGAGGTCAAACTCAAACAGTAAATTTCTTATGATGGCTATAAAAACTTGTCTTTTCTTTTAAAGGGAACATATCACGCAAAATCCATGTTTTTAGCAGTTAAATAMGTTTTGTTGTGTACTTGGAGTTAGGGCTGCACGATATTTGAAAATCTTGCGATGGCGATAATATTTTTTAAGTATTGCGATGACAATATCAGGTGCGATATATGACTTTTTTTCTTTCCTCCCTTTCTTATCTGTACTCCCTATTCTCTGTGACATTTAGCATTTTTGGCAGTCATATGTGTCTGATGTGAGCTTTAATTACTCTGTCCTACTGGCTAAGAATAGAATAGAATAGAATAGAATAGAATAGAATAGAATAGAATAGAATAGAATAGAATAGAATAGAATA